AAATTGTCAGAAAGCCCATACAAATGTATAATGACTATGTGAATGGCACCCCCAGAGTTGTGCAGTGTGTAGCTTTCTCACCATAAGCCGCAGTCTGTTTGATGGATGAAAGAAATCCAATGCTTATAGTCAATGCTTATATTCATTTTTGTTAATAATTCTAAACTCTCAAAATGGGGTTCCCAGAAGTGCTAACAAGGACCAGAGATCTAAATTAACATTAATTACTCCCTTTAGGTGGAAGATCCACCAAATACTTAAGTTCAGATCAGCCAGAAACTGCCAGCACAAGGGGCTTGAATGATTTAATAAAGCAGCCAGTGATAGATTTGAATTTTTTCATGGCTTAATGATTTTTTCTTTCATGTGGAACTAGGAGGCTGGCAGTTTGCAGAGTATAGCAGGTACAACATCAGAATTTATCCTCAAGTTGTTCCTGCTAGGGGCTGGAAAGAGAGGGCTGACAGCGTGTGGGCTATCCAGCTGAACCCATGGTAAGGGGCGCTGTCAGAAAGTGTTCAGTCCTAACAGTGCGTATTTGGCTGAAGAGACTGAACCGGGAGCTTACCAAAAGCTGTGTACCAAAAAGACTGCTCAGTCCAGCAGAAGGCAATGTTTTCTTATTTGTCTGCCCACAGGGGATGCCTTTTTCTAATTCTCACAAGGACTAGCGCCATACAAGAGATTCAAATTGTCACTGCAACGCTGAGTCCAGTAACAGCAGTTGCCTGAAATTAACATCTCCTGAGTGATCCACAAAACCGAACACCCTGGCTCATTCTGATTGTTACTTCTTTCCCTCTTTCTGCATTAAATCATTCATAAACCTGCCATGAAATCTCTGTGTTCTGAGTTCAACTCAGTGACTTTGTGAGCGAGAAACTCTCTGTTCCTGCAGATTACTCTTTTTTGCCATCTATATCTCAAGAGACTGACCTTCACAGGTGGCATCAAACAAGCTTACTTGCCTCTGACTTCCATCTGGTTTGGCCAATGAGAGGTCCTGGCAGACCAGTAAGCTGCCAGGTGGGCTGGAGCAAAGATCGATTAACGCTTCCTCCCTGTGGGCCACAGGTTGGCAGTGTCCATATCATGGGCTGAATTAAGACCCCGCTAAATTAATATGTTTAATTTCGAACCCCCAGTACTTCATAATGTGACTATATGTAAAGATGGGACCTTAAAGGAGGTAAATAAGTTAAAATGAGATCATTAGGTGGGACCCTAATCCAATATGACCAGTAGCTGTATAAGAAGAGGAAATTTGGACACAGATGCAGGCACAGAGGGAAGACCATGTGAAGACTGGAAGGACAGAAGCCATAGAAGAAACCAACCTGCCAGCACCTGCATCTTGAACTTTTGAGAAAATACATCTCTGTTGCTTAAGCCATCATATCTGTGCTATTCTGCTATGGTACCTGAACAAACTGATACAATCTCTCGACCAGAGTCACAGCTGCCGTCCATGCCCCCACTCCTAGAGCTCCAGTTCTCTACCTGGGTTTGGGTCACCACATCCTTTCCTTACCCCCTCGGGCTTAGGAGAAAGCAGGAAGGGCCCCTGCTATTGTTCCCTATCACTGCTTTCTCTGAACTGTGCGCATGCCTTTGTAACTACCTTTGTTCAGTTCTCTGCAGTTACCCCACTCCGGGCACCAGGTATTTACTTGCAGGAACTTAGATGGGTCCACTCGTTTCCCTCACTATTTGCCTGAGCTGTTTCTAAAATGTAATCCTACCTAGCAGAAATAAACCAGAATGGATTATCAGGTGAGACCCCTTCTGCCACATTACTGTGTAAAAAGTATTTTATAAGATTTCCATGGTGACAAGAAGCTGTTGGAATATGCAAACAGCTCTGCAAAAATGAAGATACTGAATTATAACTAGTGAGTGAAAAACTGACTGTTTTGACAAAAGAAATGTATGCTATGGAGAGAACACTTTGAAGGTCAATATTTAGAGTAATTTCCACCATTGAGAAAACAGTGTTACCTCTACTAAAAATCCTAATATGTGCATGTGTTGAAAACTGAGAAATGGGAATTTTTCTACATTATTTAAAAATATTTTAAATGAGAGGCTGGGTGCAGTGGCTCAAGCCTATAATCCCAGCACTTTGGGAGGCTGAGGCGGGCAGATCACAAGGTCAGGAGATCGAGACCATCCTGGCTAGCACGGTGAAACCCTGTCTCTACTAAAAATACAAAAAATTAGCTGGGTGTGGTAGCACGTGCCTGTAGTCCCAGCTACTCAGGAGGCTGAGGCAGGAGAATCACTTGAACCCGGGAGGCAAAGGTTGCAATGAGCTGAGGATCGTACCACTGCACTCTAGCCTGGATGACAGAGCAAGACTACATCTCCAAAAAAAAAAAAAAAAAAAAGAATATATATATAAATGTAGGCTGGGCATGTTAGCTCACACCTGTAATCCTAGCACTTGCAGGAGGCCAAGGTAGGAGAATCACTTAAGTCCAGGAGTTTGAGTCCAGTCTGGGCAAGAAACTGAGATCCGGACTCTACAAAAAATTCTAAATTTAGCTGAACATGGTGGTGCATGCCTGTAGCCAGAGCTACTTGGGAGGCTAAAGTGGGAGGACTGCTTGATCCCAGGAGGTCAAGCCTGCAGGGAATTACGATTGCATCACTACACTCCAGTTTGGGTGACAGAGTAAGATCATCTCTCAAACAACAACAACAACAAAAACAAAAACCTTTTAAATGTGCAGTTTCAGAGAGCTTTGGACATATTTTTATGTTCAAAAAATGAGAGATCAATATATTAAAAGAATATCTCCACTACCATCTTTATTGCAACACTATTCACAATAGCCAAGATATGGATTAAACTAAGGCTCCATCAATGAATGAATGAAGAAAATGTCGCATATATATACAATTGAATATTATTCAGTCATAAGGAAAGATGAAATTCTGTTATTTCCAGCAACATGGGTGGAACTGGAGGCCACTTAAGTGAAACAAGACAACCAACAGAGAGACAAATATCACATGTTTGCACTCATATGTGGGAGCTAAAAAACTGGATGATTACCAGAGACCAGGAAAGATAGGGAAGAGGGAGATATGAAAGGGAAAACAAGAATATAAATTTATTTATTAGCACTGAACTGTACACTTAAAAATGGTAAAGATGATAAATTTTATATGTGTATATAAAATTGAGCTCAATAAAAATAGTGTAAAAAAACTGAGTAGTGTTTCTCTAAATTATTTAAAAATCTTTCAAATATACAATTTCAGAGAACATTGAATATGTCTTTATTGATCTATATTTGTCTCTGCATATTTATATAAAAAAAATGGTGCATCAACCAGACTTCTTTGCCTTATGACTTTCTCTGTGTTTCATCAATGGGAAGCACTTTGATTAGATTGTAAGAACTATCAATTGACTCAAGGCAGATGAAAATGTATTGGTAAACTTTCAACAGAACCTTTGCCTATCTGGTGGATGTGGCTGAAAAAGTGACTCAAACTTAGCAGTTACAGCCAATAATGCCCTTCTTGCATGATCTCTGCAGTATTGTTTTAGCCATGATAATCATTAAAGCCAAGTATCAGAATGGATTGATCTAGGAAGCAGACTTTTGAATGGTGTCACAAAGTGTTAAACCAAACTCAATAAAAATAAAGTGTAAAAAAACTGAGAAGTCATGTTTCAAATGAAGCATATTCATTTTCAGTCACATATAAAATGAGTGTACAATCTTAACCAGAAAGCAAAAAGCAGAAAGGGGTTTTGCACCATCAAGAAACAATATTATTTCATCTTTACTTCATTCTTTTTCGTTTTTTGTTTGCTTGTTTGTTTTTTGAGACAGTCTTGATCTGCCACTCAGGCTAGAGTGCAGCGATGTGATCACCGCTCATTGCAACCTCCGCCTCCCAGTTTCAAGCAATTCTCCTGCCTCAGCCTCTCAAGTAGCTGGGATTACAGGCCTGTGCCACCATTCCTGGCTAATTTTTGTATAGTGGAAACAGGATTTCGCCATGTTGGACAGGCTGGTCTTGAACTCCTGACCTCAAGTGATCCACCTGCCTCAGCCTCTCAAAGTGCTGGGATTACAGGCGTGAGTCACCGCCTGGCCTCTTTGCTTCTTTCTTTAACATTTTCTTTCTGTGCGTTTTTAATTAATATGCTAGTTCAATAGTACATATATGTAATTTACAAATAAATAAATAAGTATTGGGAGTATCTGCTTAAAAACCTTTTACTGAATCCAGTGAGACATCCAAAAAGGCTGGAAACCACTGAGCATTAAACCGTAGGGGCTGTTAAAAAAAAAAAAATCTAGTGTACCCAGAATCTTAGAATTCAGACTGACACATTCTGCCTTGTTCTAAATGCCTTCAAAGGAAAAGAAAGTGGGGAATGTCAAGGAGGAAATGCCAGCGCCACACAGCTTCCCACATTAGTCAGGAGAATATGTTCATTTAGTTGAACCACCATTTCTCAGAACATTTCGGAAATACTTGGAATGTAGTAGCAGACCTAAGGGACCACCCAGTCAAAACTCAAATGAAAGTCTTCCAGAGACAACAGGGGACAAAATGATGTTCAGCTCCTCCCAGCTCCACATCCGGCCAGCGGTGGGCTGGGCGGGGCAGCCATCTTGTCCCACTCTGGCCTCTTCCAAGCATTCCTGACTGTCACGGGGGCCTGAGCCTGGGGAATGAATGCTATCACAGCAGGCAGTGTTTAGAGGTGACAGAAAACACTCTAGTCACGCCAGAAAGAAGAGCCATTTAGACTAGCCTGGGGAGCAACACCCCTGGAGCTGAGCTCTGCATGCCTTTCCTCTAATGCCTCCAGGAAAACGAGACTCCAGATCCAGGCAGCGGACAACATGCTTATTTAGTGCCTGACCTTTCAGGCAAATGGCTATGAAAATACTTTGGTGGCTGGGAGACATGACTGTACGGTTTTGTAATCAAAGCTACTTCCAGACTGCTTTCTGTTACTGTTTTTTCAGGATTCCTTACTGATTAAAATTAAAATCTGGTTACAAAACAAGGGACCTAGAGAGATGTTCACTACTTCTCTACACAGATGGCTCCTACTGCTTCCAATTTTTCTCCTTTAAGCCAGGGTGAATCCAAATCATGGTCTCAGCCCTGAAGGAGGCACTGAAGCAGTTTCGTCGCCCTGTAAAGGCCTCTAGAGGAGCTCATCTGAATGCTTGAAGACACCAGGCTTCTTTGCAATTCTCTAAAAGACATTGAGTCATGTTAACAAGACATTCTTTCTGCCATCCACAGTCACAATCAAATTTTTGAAAAATAAATACTGGTGGGTTTTTTTTTTCTTTCTTTTTTCTTTGGTTTGTTTTTAATGTCCATTATGGGATGGTCTGATTAGATAATGGGATTTCATAATCTAGGGAGGTAAGCCTGTTCCTGAGTTTTGCCAATCCTCATGATTCAACCTCCTGTTGTGCTCAGGGGTGGGGCTTCTACACACCAGGAACCTCCAGATAAATGGAAGCACAAACTGCTCCGCCCAAAGCCACACTCTGTGGCTGACAGATCCTGCCATTTTACAGACTGTGGCCTCCAAACTGGGTTTTCCTCTTTTTCATCCCTGCAAAGAATAAGAAAGCACGTGGCCCCAAGTCCCTTTCTCAAGATGACCCTCCAAATGGATACCTGGAGTGATCAAACAGCCTCCGACCAAGAGGCATTTGCTATTTGCTCCACACACCATCCTCTAGCATGTTGCAAAACCTGTCTGCCTTCTCACTATAAAGAATGACGCACACGCCTTTAACCCATTCGGCTTTTTGAAAAATGAAGGCTAGGCCTTGATTTACTGTGCTTTGCCTACCCTACTCTGTAATGCCACCAGATTATTGGGCCTGGTGGCAGCCTTGTCCATCATGTTTTATGGCTGGGGCCATCCCCATCTTCGCTGGGGAGCTGAGAGTGGAATTTTAACTATGAATTTTCTTGTGTTTAATAGGCTAAAGTCAAAAGGCCATATTCTGCCTTCAGATATGCATGAACAACTTCCAACTGGAATTACTCATGTATATCTGAATTTAGTTAAAATACTCCAACACCTAGCCACCATTAAATAACATACTTTTTTTCTTTTAAAACCTTTTTAATGTACATGTGGATGAGTGAAACAGCATGTATGAATTAATCAAAATTATTTACTCTTTTTGAGGAAATGTTTGGTTTTTAAAGAAACAAAGCCATTTGGACATTTTACTTTACAGTCCTGCTCATTTATTCCATCTTTATACACACCAACCACTGAGCTTCTTCGAGCTTATCTTGAGGGCCTCATTAGCCGATTCCTGTTACTTATGGGGCAGCTGTGGTCGAATGGAAACACACAATAGGCTCAATTCAGAAGAACCAGGATCAAGGTCCAGCTCTGATAATAGTTACATAAACTTGGGCAAATCAATTAATCATCTCAGTATCTATTCATCTGTAAATGGTTGACTTCACAAGATTATTGTGTGAATTCAATAGATAGAGAGTGTTACATTTTCTTTCCAAAAGAACTTTGCCTGTAGCAGAAGCGGAAAATCCAATGCTGATGAAGATAGTAAGGAGAAACTTAAGGTTACACAATGAGAGGAGTATAAAATGGTACTACTCATTTGGAAAGCAATTGCAATTAATATATTGATAATATTTAAAAGTGTCCATTTAAAAGTGTCCTCCTTGATCTAATAATTCCACATATGAAAATGTGTCTTTACCTCTATATGAAAGCTTTTCTTCATAGCATTTTTATCATGGAAAACAAGTGGAAACAACTCAAATTTTAAGCAAACAAGGGAATGTTTAAATACACTGTTGTATACACTTGACAGAATGATACTTGGGTTAATTTCTTGCAATGTTAAATGAATAAAAATTGATTCAAAATGCCTATTCTGCATGATCACATCTTGGTAACAGAAACAACAAAAAGTCTTAAAAAGGACTAGAACAAGTAGAAAAAAATTTTCTGAAGTAATTGGTAGAAGAAAATAAAAAAGTGCTTTGGATAGAAAAGACTATAAGAACTTTTGTTCCTCCTTCAATACTTAATAGTATGTACATAGATGGCACAAAGTATATCTTAAATAAATTTTTAAGTGTTATACCTTAGCTCCTAATTAGCAGTAACATCCTGCTCAACTAACTTTTCAATTAATCAAAACTTTACCTTAATTAGCCCTGGAAAATAGGTTTTAGCAGTGGTTGTATCTTATTTTTCCATCCAGCTATCTGTCTATAAGATCATAGGAATTCAGTCTAACACATTTGGCATTCAGTCAAATGGCAAAAGCCTAGATTTAGCCATTGTCACAGGGCGCAACATCAAAGGAATTCTGAAACATTGCTCCCCACATACAGCATGGCCCATGTCATTTGATCTTCAAGAATGCAGAGCAGGGGGCGATGAATGTTCATGGCAGGAGAGTTAATGTATACATTTCCATCCACAGGAGGAATGGGTGCAGGCCAAACTAGCAAGGGGTGGTGCACCGTAAGCATAGACAGCCATTTGCAGAGATGTCGGCATATTGTACAGAATTATTAATAAGGAGGCATATGCGATATATAAAATTTCATTAATTTACAGAAATAAACCAAAGCATCCAAAATAGGCAGCTCCGTGCATATTTGGTCTTCTAACCTATGGGAAGTAACATCTATTGCCTTCATATGAAAGCCAACTTCAGTGACATCCCTTCGTGGTAATACTATGGTATACCGCTTTGTATTCCTAGCATGTCCTACAGCCCTTGTTATGGGGCACTTATGAGCAGAGCACCACATTCGGTACACAGTGGAGTTGCCCACCAAGAAAATAAAAGGTAGTTTGTGTTGAGACAACCCACTTAGAAACATGAATTTTACAGAGGGGAGAAATGATGTCTCTGTGGCAGAAATTAAGTCAGTTTTTGAATTTCAAATGGAAGTGTTTCCTCACAGCTCAGTTCACTTACAAAGCAAAAGACAAAACCTGCACCTCAATTTCAGGAAATTAAAAGCCCCTTGAAAGCTCACAAAATCATCAAAGGTTAGAAATGAAAGGTAGCTTATAAACCTTCTAATGCCCACCACACAACACACACACACATTTTTATAGATCAGGAGACAGCCCATAAAGGTTAGAACTTTTTCCAAGATCACACAGTGAGTAAATAAATGGTGGAGCCAGGATTCAAACCCAGGACTCTTGACTCTCTCTGTTGTTCTTGTATCAATGCTCTGCAAATACCAAAGGGCTTGCAAGCTGCGAACCTTAATGAATGCTGTTCATCAGACACTTGGGAAGGATTGTAGCATGATGGAAAGGGCTTAAGAGTCAGACTGGCGTTTAAATCACGATTTGGTCACCTACTTACATGGCCTTGGACAAGTCATCCAGTGTCTCTGAACCTCAGGGTCATTTATAAAGCAAACATCATGAATCCTACCCACAGTGTGGTGGTGAGAATCAAATGAAATAATGTACACTAAATGCCAAGCAGGGGGCCTGGCATGCCATGGGAACTTGAGGAGGATCTATTATTACTATCACATTACTTCCTTGAAGGCATACTCAAAATCCTGAACTTTCAATCTCAGCCTGTAAAAGACAGTATGGGTCCAAACTCTTCATCCTTTGAACAAAGCCTGTGTGGATGTTTCTGTTCACGGCTGTGCTGTGCCAGAATAAATCTAATTCAATCTGGACCACTAAATGCTTGGCACCACGTTTTACACTAATCTCATCAGTTGTTATTTTCAGTTTCTAGTTTACTCAAACAATCCATTTTTAGAGTTAGTGACCAAAGCTGCCAATAAAATAGACTTATCTTGAAAACACCAGGATCCTCCTGAAGGAATGTCAATATACACACACAGGAGACGGCAATGCTTTATAAGAGTTTAACCACTGGCTTACAGTTGGCCAGCTCAACTGTAAACTCACTCAATACTATTTGGGGGTATTAATATCTATAAGTGCTTAATATCCCAGCCACACTGCCATCCACTAGGTTTCAATGTCCTTTATAGAATGAACTTGATCCTCCCATTTCTTTTGGTCTCTCTCCAGAGAAGCTAATGTGCTGGCATAGTTCTGCCATTTGTCAGCCAGAAGTCTGGTTACACATTTGCTCGTCAATCTAAACCTATCCTATTCTCATATGAGCACTTGGGGTTTCATGTAAATCAACCAGACGTTCTGTCATTCACCAGCAATATCTCTCCATAGTATTCTACACCCATGTGCCTTCACGAAATATTTCATTATGCTGGTGGAAGAAATATTCAAATGAATGTGCTTTTTCAGGGATGGTGACACCAGAATGTTTTAAATCTGTTCATTACCACAACAAGGATAAATGGCGTTTCTGCCAAAGACTTTTGATAGCGGGTGCAGTAATGCATGCCAGCACTTTCTGAAATTAAAGGTTCTACCCTGAGAGGTAAGTAGGATAATGCATGGCTAACAAATGCAAATCCAAATTTCAGAACTGAGTGTTTCTTGTCAGTGTCACCGATCGGTTCCAACAGACGCTGCCTTAGGGAGTTTGTAATGTCGTTTCTACTCTCTTGACATTAACATCCAGGTGAGCCTACCCCAAGGCTTGTAAAAGGACAAATCCTTATTAACTTAGCATGCTTTATTGTGATTTTTCTTACGTTTGGATTCACACATGCCTTTAACAGCTGCATTTAAAAAATCTGCTATGGTTTAAGGACAATATTTTATAAAAGCCTTAGTTCATTATTCAGTAAAATATTTTAATAATCAGTTGATCAGTCTCTTGTTAAGATTTTGAGATATTTGTTTCTGATTGTAGTAATTAATTGTTCAAGTTTTTTAAAAAAATCGGTGATGAGACTCTAGTCTTCACTAACTTTATCTTCAAGAGGCACAAAAGAAACGAAGAACTGAATATTTGAAACAAGAAAATAAATATCAGTTCATATTTACATTGACATATGCATGACATTGGGCCAGTTAACTTCAGTATCTCTGGATTGTAAAATGGTGTTTTAGTGTAGAGCTAATACGTGAGAATTACGGAGAAAATGGAGAGAAAAGGGTTTCCAATTCAGATTATCTATGAAGAGCATATTTTATTCTTACAAGTGTCTGAAAATGCCTAGTATTATTACTATTCACCATGAGAACTGTAAGTATGACCACTAGTACTGTAAAGAAAAAAGAATCCAATATCTGTGAAAGGTTTTTCATCCAAATAATGTATCCTTTAAAATTAAAAAAAAAAAATCACAGGTAGAGCTATATTATATTGGCTCATAAAATGCCTAAGATGGACAGAATACAGATTCTGGT